TTCAGAACTCTAACAGACTTTTTTGGGAAAAAAAAACAGCTATAGAGAATAAATATATTACTGTATTCACCTGAGACCCAGGAGACCCAGATTCAACTTGGAGCTTTACCTGATTTGATTTTAGCCTCAGCACATCCCAGGTGAATGCCCTGACCAACTGCATGCATCTCAGCCTCTGTTAATGGCTCAAGGAATTTATGCAGCCTTGGAATTAAAAATGTTCCTTGGATACTCATCAAGGAGGCAGGACAATGGCAGGAGTGAGACCCAAAACTGCAGAAATAATGGGAAAGAAAGAACAGGTACAAAAAGAAACTCGCCCAAATGAAGTGAAAAAAAAATAATTTTACAACGTGTCAGTCAGAAAATGCTCTAAAACACTAAGATGCCTAGTTCCTCTACTTTAAAAACAGGAAAAATTTAATTTCTTCCATCAGGACTGAAATCCCCATTTACAGCGATAAATATTCTTTGACCATCCTCTTGAAAAAAAACACAAGGATTGTCAGATACCCCTATGTCTGAGGAAAACTCCCAGTGACTTTATTAAGAGTTTTGTCTTGATGAATAGAGATTTTGGAGTTCAGAAGGTGGCCCTGAAATTTCAGGGTCAGATCTCTTCAGTAGCACAACTGAACACAAAACAACCCAGCTCAAAGGAATCACCCAGGACTCTGAAATTCTTCTCTTCCCCCTAAGGCATCATGCAGCAATGTACAAGTTGCAAATGTGATGTGCAATTTGCCTTCTATTTGCCAAGATTTGGATTCCTTTTCTGATCCAGACTATTGTGCTATCACACTGAATGCCACTGCAGTATCAGTAAATGCCGTAAGATGCTACAAGTCCATGGTTTCTCAGATTCTGCATTTCCCACGCTGCTTAGATTTACTTGTCACTATTTTCCTGCTTGATAACTGCAGGGATGAGAATATTAGGAGTGGCAGTCTAATCAGTGACCACTCTGGGCATTCAACCTGTCAGAGCTGAAAACTCATGAATGAGCTGCAGTGGGTCAGTGATATACTAACACATCAGCCAGAGCAGGAGGTTCCTCTACAACAGGGTTCTCCTTTATCACAGAGCCAAGAGAGAAATGGAAGATATAAAAATAAAATAAAAAACTAACCCAAGACAAAACCAAGCAAGGATCAAAAACCACACAACACAGATCTAAGTATTTTTTCAACTTGGTTATAATACAACAAAAATTCATTTGTCCTTTAGACACCGTATCAGGCAGGTATTGAATGAAAGATGATTATTTTTTTTTTTGCAAAGTCATATCAAAGATCTGACCCTTTCTCACATAGTGGATCCAAATACGAGATGTGCACAAAATTCTATAAAACTCATCAATAGCTATTTAAATAAATAAATATATAAAACAAACCCCACAAGTACAAGTAAATGAATTCAAATGTTCACATTGCTCAATTAAAGCTCAGCCAGAGATGGGCCTGGGCAGCTATGGCCCCAGTTCAACAAACCACTTAAGCATATGCTTAAAACAAGCTCTGGATCAATTCCCAGTGAGGATTAATGCATATTCGTAAATGCTTCGCTCCTTTGGAGATCACAGAATGAAATACCCCTGGAAAAGCCTTAAAAAATAAAAGCACAATTTTGGTTGCTTGTTTTTAAATTAGCTTAAGCTAAACTGAATATTCTAGACTCAGCAAAGTCTCCACAGACAAATGTTTATTTTCATTCTATAGCACCTCGTACAATGGAATTACAATTTGAGAATGTAGCACTGGGCGGCCAGAGGGAAAGATGACGGTAGGTGGAGGTTAATGCAGAAGGACTGCCTGAGCTTTCCACGTACATTATAATAGAAAGCTCACGAATAGGATGGCTAAGCCAGTAAATAATGATAGATCAATCTGCTGCTATTTCTGTGGCTCTGCAAGATGCACATGTTCTGACACTCCTGTTTATGTATTAAATTGAGAATATGAATTGATACAAAGTGAAATGTTTTCTTTCCCTCAAGCTCCTTTTGTGCCTAGATGGACTGATGTTCACACTCCACTTTTTTCCTTTGGTTAACTGAAGAAATAAATTCTTGATTAGATCCACATTATTCATGTTTTGCAGAGAATTTTTTGCCTACACATACAAGTCCTGCTGGGGTAAGCCAGCAGAGACCTATTGACTTAGTGTCGTAGCAAATTACATGGCCCTATAGTCAGATGAAATATTAACTCAAGGGACTAATATTTTCACTGGATCAAAGACCAACTAATGAGAAACAGAATACCGGTTTTCAAAGAGGGTTTAAAAAGTTAGAACAAAACACAGATCACTTAATATACTGCAAAAGTTGCAGTAACTTCCTGACAGTTTGCTTGCCTACAAACCTCTTAGCCCTGATTTATTAATATTAGATGCTGTGCCAAGTTCATGTCATAAAGGATAGATGCTGTGTGCCCACGCTCTGCTTGGAACTGCATAAACATGATCATCAACTAGATTTGACATCATAATCAAAACAATGAAAATAAGTTAAAGGTGGCAGGCAATATCTGAGAAACTGAATTAAGAAGCTCTTAATGTAGACACATTAAGAAAAATAAAATTTTTCTCCACTGATGGAGGGAAGGACCTGTTTTTTAAAGGAATTCAGGTGCTTAAAGAAGCAGATGGGTGCACAGTGGGATTTTTAGAAGCTCTTAGATGGCAACTCCCACTGAAATCACTGTGTATTAGGCAGCTAGGTACTTTGGAAAATTCACATTACCTGCATCTTTAAGCACCTAAATACCTTTAAATATTTGGCCCAAAGACAGCTTACTGTAACGTCATAGGAAACAGAATAGTCCCTGCTCAAGGGAAAACAGTTTATTGTATGGTCAATTAATTTTCAAGCAAGAGAAATCCATATAAGCAATTTGTAAGAGAAATAAGGCCAGAACTCCGGAGCTATGACTTCGGAACAATATTTTGTAATTGAAAGAAGAGATATGGTACACAAAGAAGTCTTGGGCATTTTTTGGCAAGATTGTAACGGAGATGATACGGGTACAGATTAGGTACTCATCTTAAACTGGAGTGCATCCGGAATGCACAGGCCTTAATCCCACCGAAGAGTAAAAGATAAATGTGGTACCTCAGTGTTTGTGAAGGGAGTCAGAGGCTGGTAAGTGTGAGGGCTACGGGAGGGACACACACCCTGCAGAGAAGGCAGGCAAGTGGACGTAGGCGTCATTTGTCTCTTTGGTCTAGGAGAAAGACATCAGCAGTCACAGTTTCTCTCCCAAGGAAGCTCAGGAATTCCAAATGTGAACCCATAAGATTTTTAGGGACACTTATGTCTGCCACTGTGACAAGAAGGGGGCACTCCAGGTGCCACGGAGGTGAGACACTGCACCTAAACTGGCTCACTGCCATTTAGTTTTCTAATTCCACTGGTCCACGTGCAAACTGAAGAGGCTGAAGAAAGCAAATCCCACACAAATCCTTTGACTCCTACCTCAGCAGTGGGAGGCACAAGTCAAGGCGGCCATCTACAGCCTGGCTTGCATCCAGGCTTTGCCCCATAAGAATCATTGAATCATAGAATCATTAAGGTTGGAAAAGACCTCCAAGATCATCGAGTCCAACCATCAACCCAACACCGCTGTGCCTACTAAACCATGTCCCAAAGTGCCACATCTACACATTTTTTGAATGCCTCCAGGGACTCCACCACCCCTCTGGGCAGCCGTTAGCCTGAGGCCCAGGAGATCAAACAGGTTTCTTGGCTCACCTTTTACGGAAGAGGAAAATAACAGTTATGGTTTTGCACTGTGCCACCTTTCAGTGGCAGAAAAGGATTTCTCCTGCATCACCAGTCTGTGTATCCCATCCAAGTCACTTCATTTAATGTGGAAAAAAACAAGCAGTGACAGAACAGGGCCCTTAGAGTAAGGCTCCCAGCATAATGCAGCCACAAGAATTTAACAAGTGGGATTTACTTAACTGGTCACTAAGTGTTAGCATTGCTTTAAAGACATATGGCTGAAAGTGTTTCTCTGGCCATAAAGAAACAGAACCGAGAGAGCAGAGAAAATGCCTGGCAAGCAAACTCTCTCCCTTTTGTTTAACAGCTCTCTTCAGACTTGTAAGCCTAGAAAAAGCTTCATTAAAGTTAATGGACAAATCTTCCAGTAAAAAAAAAATTAATTACTTAAATGTTACTGGTTTTGGTCTGAGCACGCAAAATTTCTCTTCCTTGCTGGGTTCGCCCCAAGATCGCAATCTTCAGGCAGAATTACATAAATATTGAGAGCTTTCAGGCTGGTTTTGTATCTCAGACCTGATGAGCAACTGGCAGAGTTCACGGGCCAGGTTCACAAGCCTTGTAAGTGGGCACAGCTTCACTGAAGTCAGTGGGAGACCTGCACACGTTACAGGAACCTTCCATAAATAGAACAGAGCTGTGTCCATTTGTACCAGAAATGACTACGAATTACTGCCAGCAACATTACAGAGAACATTTTTCACCCTGTAGACTTCAGGCAAACAGTTCCTAAAGATACCATACAAAAATATGCCACCCAAGTCACTTCCTTAGCTACTGCCATGGCACCCTTTCCCTTAACATTTAAACCCTCTCTTCCACACCAGTGCCAATTGCAATTAGCCTTGCTACACCTCCAGTGTGCTACTATGCTTACTTTTCAATAGGTGACTCAGGCACAGATTGTGACCTTCACTGGGTCCTAGCGAGTTGATGGGGAGACACAGCAAGGTTCTCGGACAAAGAAAGTTGAATATAATCCCTTATATAATGGACTTAACACTCAGTCTTTACCCACAACAGGCATTTCACAGAAGAAATGCTTTAAATAGCTTCTTTATAGTTTCACAGTGCAGAAAGAAATAAACGTACCCTGCTGTATGCTTCTAAAGCAAAATTTAAAAAGCTCAGTTAAGAAACTCAGAAGACACATACTTGCTGCCATTCTAGATTTTAGATGAGATTTTAAATGGGTGGCCATAAAAAAAAAGGCTACATGACTTCCACTCTGAAGCCAGACAAAACTGCAACTAAGGATGGGACTCTGCACAAAGACAACTGTATTCTAGTACCGCACAAACTAAGGTGAGACATAGCAAACATAATCTACAGTTCCCATTTGGGTGTTGAAAAGTGTAAAAACAATGTTTGAGATGTCTTATTCTTGCCAGACATGAATGTTGCAATCAAAGATAAAGTATCCTGCTGTGAAGTCTGCAGTTCTTACAGGGAGCAGAATGTAACAGAGAGCACTTACACAACATGAGCCTCCTGACTGTCCTTGGTACAAGGTTGGCAGAGACCTTTCTGGATGAACAAGGAGGAATCATTTCTCATTAGTGGACTGTTCATAAAATTTTTACATAATCTCTTATTACAAGACAGTATGATATTGCTAATTGCTGTTTGTTCAAACTAATACCGTTAAAACAATAGAAGAATGGACGGGCCTTGATACATAAGTGACTTGTTTGGGATATTTTCAACAGTACATCAGTAAAGTGCTTTGTGTCGTGGCTTCTTTAGGCAGAGTCAAGTTCATTAACAGAAGAACCAGTAAAATGCTCCAAAAGAGATTTTTAAAATCTGCAAGGATTTAAGGGATCTCTTGGAAGCACTGTCAGGCTACTCAGTGTTATAATACTGACTGTCAGCTCCTCAGCTTATAAGCAGAGGCCAAATAATGTGGGTCTGATGACCCTCCAATAAGCCAGAAGACTGAACACTCCTGTAGTCACCAGGAGAATTGGCAAGGCTTTCTGAGGAAAAAAATTAAATTAAAACTTTATAAGTTCAACTTGACAACCTCACATTTTCCCCATAAATTAAGGGGAAGAAATCCAGTACTTCACTTAGCAGTCCAGGCTGGGGGCTGACAGCACTATGTGGACAGATAGGACTATAGGACAGAATGGGGTACACAGGGGGCCTAATGTTTGTGGCTTCACATTTTGATCCCCAGAATCTGTTGAAGTTTCTGCAAAGCTATTCTAGTTTACTCCCAAAGCCACACTGACACGAACAGGCTAGGAACCAAGGCTCAGCTTGCTACAGATACTTACATGCTTATGTCCTGACTGACCTCCTGAAGGTTGGGTGAATACCTGCTTTTCAAAGCTGAGCTTCATGTTTTAGGCATAACCTAGCCACAATGCATAATCTAGTTTATGCATACTCTAGGTTTTTCACTTTACTTTCAAATCCAAAAATTCGTTAACACTGATTTACCTAATTTTTAACAAAACATCCACCTTGATGGACATCTTGATGACTTTGTAATCCCTGAGATAAAGTGTCAGAAGGCTTTCAGAACTCCCAACAGCCTTTAAAGATGGAGATGTATTAGTCCATGATATACACAGGGAAAGGTTAATAGCTAATAATGCCTTTCCTTCCCCATTCCAACTCACGATTCTACTCCCTGCACATGCCCACGGTCCCTGCAACTTTCACGGTCATGATTTCTGCAATGGTGGAGCTGCACATTTCTCCTGCATGTCCTTGCCTGAGCAGCAGCCCTAGTTCATGCTTCCTACTTCCCAAAGAGGTCATTCACTTGAGATATTTTTTGTTATAACAGTCACTAGCTTTAAGTCCTCTTCTCTAGATTAGACACCACAAAACTACTTCTCCGAATTCATCTGCCATCTGTAATTTTGCATCTGGATTGAAAGCACTTTGGGGCAGGGCCAGCTTTTTGTTCTGTTTGTACAGTACCTCCCGTAAGGGCTTTCCTGTGAAAACTGAAATAGTAACTACGTAACTGCCATGTCATTAAAGACGGTCATTGGCAAAAGGAGGAAATGAGTAAGTGCTAATACCCATCATGTTAATCTGTGGATTATTCTTCCTCTCTATGACCACAGTGATCTGATGGAATAATTAAAACTGATCAGTGTAATTGTTTCAACATTAGATGTAGAACTTAAAATCAGAAACCAAGCAGCTGCAGGGATTGCTTGAAAGCCAGTGTATCCAACCATCCTTGCCTGTAGGCAAAGTGGTGAGACTGAAGATAATATTCTGATTCACAGCATGGTGAAAGTACTTTTACTCTAACATTTTCCAGTAGGCTTCTCTGCAAAGCTACCATAACTAAAATGAATTTGAAAAGGTGTTCTTCAAGAACTCCATAGTAAAAGAGAGGGGGGAGGGATTTTACTGCTTTTTCCAAAGCATGCTAGTATCACTTGGCAAATTTTTGTCACATTGATTCAAATTCACTTTTTCCCCTGAGAAGTATAAGGATTCATCAGCTTTCCCTGTCTGATTTCTGCTGTCAAACACATCAGGAAGCATGTACCTCTCCATAATTCAAATTCTTTCCTGCCCACCTTAATTGTATGTCTCTTTTCTAGATGTAACATAGTAAGAATGGGCTGTCTCAAAGGGAGATTTCCTCTACATGTCCTTATATGGCAGGTATACACGATCACTGAAGGATAAGTCCTATGCATAATCCTTCTGTCATTGATTTATTTTTCAGCACCGTGCTTCATGACAGCCATTTTGATGGCCTTGTCTACAGGGAATATCACCATGAACTTCCTTAGACTCTGCAAGGAACGAAAGGAAATTTGTTCCTCCAAGTAGAAGTAATTCCAGCTGTTTCAGGAGAAAGCAAAGTGGTAAATTCATGCTCCTCAGAGGCAATAAACCAAATCCTCATCTAGCTGATTGTCTTAACATAGGAGTTGAGGACAACATCACATTTCTGTGGAAGCCAGTTAAGATCTCACATATTTCTATTTACCTTTAAACTTCCAGTCAGACAATAAGCAGATCTGTTGATAACAAGACGTTGGTGTGACAGATGGTAATTGCTAGCAGAGAGTAGGTGCTCATCTCTGTGCTTCAAGTTTCACAGAGCTCTAACAGACCTGGAATTTGGATGCACATGGCTTTTTGGTTATACTCTCTGTCCCCAGTGTTATGCGGAAAACATTTGGGCCCCCAAGTTGTGTGTGCTACATCTTCAGGGATTAGGGCTCTGCAACTCTGCATCTCCACCCTTTTAGCTCCGAATGTCACACATTGCTAGGGAAGATCTTTAAAAATACCTACAATTTGATCTACAGCACTGGATTCCTTCAACACCGTAGATTTCTGTGGTACCCACTGAGGATTATAAACATCAGTAGAGGTAAGGGGAGGAGAAAAAAAAAAAAAAAAAGATATTTTTTTGCACTACTTAAGTACCATAAAAATATTGAACAAAAAAGAAAGAGAGAAGAATGAAAAGAGAAGGAAGACAAGCCAGCTGTAATGAGGAAAGATGTTCTTACCCTAATACGGTGGGGACTTCTGAAAAGAGTTCACAACTCAGTGGTGTGAAAATATGTCAAGGTTATTGAACCTAAGGCATGTCTCTACTAACTGTTGCTTACTCTGATTGACCTTTAAGCATCTGCTTGCCCACCTTCCCTAGGACTTGCAAAGTGTACAAAATGTATCCTTTATACTAGATGACCAGTACTTTGGGCTAAATTCCCATTGCTTACCGTGCAGCCAAAGAGCTGTCCCCTTGTTTTGCTCCCACGCTTAAACAAACTGAACAGCCATCATCTCTAAATATCATTGTATATATCTGGATGCCTCAGAATAAAGTTATATGCAGTTAGATATACTGTTTCTGACCATACAGAATAAATGTGGTGGAGGGGAGTGTGCGTGTGTGTGTGGGGTGGTGGGGAAGCTACAAAGCTGTGTCACTGATTAACTTAACTATCAATCTCTTTACCAGGAAAAAAAAAAAAAAAAGCAAATGAAAGCACATTAAATAAAAGGTTGTTCCATTCTTTTTGTATTCTCCCAGCATTCCAGAATATCTATAGTGGGGATTTCTCCTCTTTTAAAAGAAGAGACTTCCTAAGATTTCTCATTCTATGAGAGCTTTTCAGGCTTACCATTTTTCAATTTCTCATTCCGTTAAACCACTGCATATTTTAGAAACCTGGCATTCAGTGTTGTAATGTTATTCCTTGAGGCTCTCAGCAAATCTGAAGGTATGGCTCTACAGAATCCCCCCCCCCCCCCGACCCCCAAAACCCAGAAGAAAATGCACCAGTAGCTGTGCTTGAGAGATGCTGCTCTCGTCTTTACTTTCCTTGCTCTGTTTAGACAGATTCAACCTTGACAGAATCCTGCCATTGCCTACTTTCTGTTAAAGTCAGAGAGAATCTGAATAAGGTTTGCAAAAACCTGAGAATAAAAATAAAAAATCACCCAGCAAACAGAGTAAAAAGAAATTGTAAGCAAGTATTTGTATCAGTAAACGTGAAAAACATCATCTGCTGTCTTCGCTTAATGTCAGTAGCTACTGATGTCCACTCTCATAAATATCATCTTGTAACTGGCTTTTCATCCCTTTCCATACACGCCACTCCTCCCCCTCAACACATACTCTGTTGTAATATAGGGAAAAATAGAGCTCTGTAAGTAAATTCCAGGCTGGTGTATTGGCAAATCTCAACAGATTTCCACGTAGCGCTGGCAATTCACACTGATAGCTAATTTGACCCATTAAAGAAGTTATTCTGGTCAATGAATTAGTTTGTTTATGAGTAAAAGGAAGTAGTAACTGTAAACTAAAGTGTTATTTGAATATTCCTTATTTACAAACCCTGGTTCAGCAAGGCTTACACTGTAGTTATATTTTATTAGAACTGGTTCTGTGGTGCAACTTGAGTACAGGTTATTTACTAAGTATCTAACTAAAATAATGCATCTTTCCAATAAACAGTAGTACTGAACTTTACCTCTGTTTCCTCAATTCTTTCAGAAAAAATATATATCCTTAAATATACATACATTGTTCATATGCCTGAAGGCCAAGTGAATATACTTAGTGCTAGTTGAAATAAGACAGTTGAATGCTGCTGAAATCTTACTGAAGTAGCTAGCAAAAGGCCTGAGGAACAGAACACAATAAGCGTTCAAAAACATCTCACAATGTAATAATCAATGTGTAATATGAGCTAGGGGTTAGTTAAATAAAATGTGAAAGCTGTATTAATGAACCCTTTCGCTGTCCAACACAGCATTTCATTTTCTTTCATAGGCTGCATAATGCAGGGCCTAGGAAT